TACATCACACACACCAGTCACCTGATGAGACAAATGAGTTGATACACCACACACACCAGTCACCTGATGAGACACATGAGTTGATACACCACACATACCAGTCACCTGATGAGACACATACGGGAGTTGATACACCACACACACCAGTCACCTGATGAGACACATGTGGGTGTTGATACATCACACACACCAGTCACCTGATGAGACACATGAGGGAGTTGATACACCACACGCACCAGTCACCTGATGAGACACATGAGGGAGTTGATACATCACATATACCAGTCACCTGGTGAGACACATGAGGGAGTATATACACCACACCAGTCACTTGATGAGACACATGAAGGAGTGTATACACCTCACACACCAGTCACCTGATGAGACACATGAAGGAGTGTATACACCTCACACACCAGTCACCTGATGAGACACATGAGGGAGTGTATAGACCACACACACCAGTCGCCTGATGAGACACATGAGAGAGTTGATATATCACACACACAAGTCACCTGGTGAGACACATGAGGGAGTGTATACACCACACACACCAGTCACCTGGTGAGACACATGAGGAAGTTGATACACCACACACACCAGTCACCTGATGAGACACATGAGGGAGTTGATACATCACACGCATCAGTCACCTGATGAGACACATGAGGGAGTTAATAGATCACACACACCAGTCACCCGACGAGACACATGAGGGAGTTGATACACCACACACACACCAGTCACCCGATGAGACACATGAGAGAGTTGATACACCACACACACCAGTCACCTGATGCGACACTTGAGGAAGTTGATACACAACATACACCAGTCACCTGGTGAGACACATGAGGGAGTTGATACACCACACACACCAGTCACCTGATGCGACACTTGAGGAAGTTGATACACCACACGCACCAGTCACCTGATGAGACACACGAGGGATTTGATACACACCACACACTAGTCACCTGATGAGACACACGAGGGAGTTGATACACCACACACACCAGTCACCTGATGAGACACATGAAGTTAATACAACACACACACCAGTCACCTGATGAGACACATGCGGGAGTGTATACGCGACACACACACCAGTCACCTGATGAGACAAACGAGTTGATACACCACACACACCAGTCACCTGATGAGACACATGAGGGAGTTGATACATCACACACACCAGTCACCTGGTGAGACACATGTGGGTTATCTTCTTGAGGTTATCTTTTGCCCGAAACGCATTGCGTAATAGTGGCTTTAGGCATTGTATGTACTAGCTCTATCTATATATCAATCCATTAATGTAACATCACTTGTATGTATATACCTTACCTGAATAAACATCTGAATCTGAATCTGAATCTGAGATGATTTCGGGGCTTTAGTGTCCCCGTGGCCCGGTCCTCGACCAGGCCTCCACCCCCAGGAAGCAGCCCGTGACAGCTGACTAACACCCAGGTACCTATTTACTGCTAGGTAACAGGGGCATTCAGGGTGAAAGAAACTTTGCCCATTTGTTTCTGCCTCATGCGGGAATCGAACCCGCGCCACAGAATTACGAGTCCTGCGCGCTATCCACCAGGCTACGAGGCCCCAATAAAAATGGGTGTTGATACATCACACACACCAGTCACCTGATGAGACACATGAGGGAGTTGATACACCACACGCACCAGTCACCTGATGAGACACATGAGGGAATTGATACATCACATATACCAGTCACCTGGTAAGACACATGAGGGAGTTGATACACCACACGCACCAGTCATCTGGTGAGACACATAACGAAGTTGATACACAACATGCACCAGTCACACGATGAGACACATGAGAGAATGCATACACAACACACACACCAGTCACCTGATGAGACACATAAGAGAGTTGATACATCAAACACCAGTCACCTGATGAGACATGAGGAAGTTGATATTTCACACTCACCAGACACCTGGTGAGACACATGAGGGAGTTGATACACCACACACACCCGTCACCTGATGAGACACATGAAGGAGTGTATACACCTCACACACCAGTCACCTGATGAGACACATGAGACAGTTGATACATCACACACACCAGTCACCTGGTGAGACATATGAGTGTATTCACAACAGACACACCAGTCACCTGATGAGACACATGAGGAAGTTGATACACCACACACACCAGTCGCCTGATGAGACACATGAGTTGATATATCACACACACAAGTCACCTGGTGAGACACATGAAGGAGTGTATACACCACACACACACACACCAGTCACCTGATGAGACACATGAGAGAGTTGATACATCACACACACAAGTCACCTAGTGAGACACATGAGGGAGTTGATACACCACACACACCAGTCACCTGATGAGACACACGAGTTGATACACCACACATACCAGTCACCTGATGAGACACATGCGGGAGTTGATACACCACACACACCAGTCACCTGATGAGACACATGAGGGAGTTGATACACCACACACACCAGTCACCTGATGAGACACATGAGGGAGTGTATACACCACACACTCCAGTCACCTGATGAGATACATGAGAGAGTTGATACATCACATACACAAGTCACCTAGTGAGACACATGAGGGAGTTGATACACCACACACACCAGTCACCTGATGAGACACACGAGTTGATACACCACACACACACCAGTCGCCTGGTGAGACACATAACGGAGTTGATACACCACACACAACACTCACATGATGAGACACATGTCACACACACACCAGTCACCTGATGAGACACATGAGGGAGTTGATACATCACACACACCAGTCACCTGATGAGACACATAAAGGAGTTGATACACCACACGCACCAGTCACATGATGAGACACATAAGGGAGATGATACACCACACACACACCAGTCACCTGATGAGACACATGAAGTTAATACATCACACACACCAGTCACCTGATGAGACACATGCGGGAGTGTATACACGACACACACACCAGTCACCTGATGAGACACATGAGGGAGTTGATACACAACACACACCAGTCACCTGATGAGACACACGAGGGAGTTGATAAACCACACAAACCAGTCACCTGATGATACACATGACGGTGTTGATAAACCACACACACCCGTCACCTGATGATACACATGACGGTGTTGATAAACCACACACACCAGTCACCTGATGAGACACATGAGGGAGTTGATACACCACACACAACAGTCACCTGATGAGACACATGTGGGTGTTGATACATCACACACACCAGTCACCTGATGAGACACATGAGGGAGTTGATACACCACACGCACCAGTCACCTGATGAGACACATGAGGGAGTTGATACATCACATATACCAGTCACCTGATGAGACACATGAGAGAGTTGATTCATCACATATACCAGTCACCTGGTGAGACACATGAGGGAGTTAATACACCACACACACCCGTCACCTGATGAGACACATGAAGGAGTGTATACACCTCACACACCAGTCACCTGATGAGACACATGAGGGAGTGTATAGACCACACACACCAGTCGCCTGATGAGACACATGAGTTGATACATCACACACACAAGTCACCTGGTGAGACACATGAAGGAGTGTATACACCACACACACACACCAGTCACCTGGTGAGACACATGCGGGAGTTGATGCACCACACACACACACCAGTCACCTGATGAGACACATGAGGGAGTTGATACACCACACACACCAGTCACCTGATGAGACACATGAGGGAGTTGATACACCACACACACCAGTCACCTGATGAGACACATGAGGGAGTTGATACACCACACACACCAGTCACCTGGTGAGACACATGAGGGAGTTGATACACCACACACACCTGTCACCTGATGCGACACTTGAGGGAGTTGATACACCACACACACCAGTCACCTGGTGAGACACATGAGGGAGTTGATACACCACACACACCAGTCACCTGATGCGACACTTGAGGAAGTTGATACACCACACGCACCAGTCACCTGATGAGACACATGAGGGAGGTCACTTTTATCCAAAGGATTCCTCGCCATCTTCCAACTTTAAAGGGCAAGAAAATGAATGATATATTCTTATATCCGTTGCAACCTACCTATATGTGCTCTACTAATATATATCAGTTAAAGCCAGGGGCCAATATAGGTGTGTGTGTAACCCGTCCTCTTAAAAATAACGTCGCTTTTGGCTCGTATGCGCGCTATGGCCAAATTTGGACGTAATTTGATATGAAATCGACTCACAAAAGTGAAGTACTGTTCCGTTTTCTTTCTGAATCGTCCGGCGTACTCGGCAAGCTTAGAAGAGGTAACTTTCCATTAACGTTTTTCATAACGTTTTGAAACTTTATGAGAATTTCCTGCCCACCTAACCTATCAGAGGACCCTTAACTTACTGTTGTTGAAAAAAAAATCCCAAATTTATTTTCAATTTTTTTTATTTTCAAATTACGTCCATATTCGGCCATACGGGCAAACGGCCAAATGCGACGTTCTTTTTAAGGGGTCAGGTTGAATGAATGAGTTGGATCTTATATGGACTAATGATTCCTAATGTCTATAACATGACGTTTCTCGCCTATTTCCATTTACACACATCTTTTGTCTCTTTCCAGATTGTTGTGAGATCTCTTGTCTCATGTAATCTTTTTGAAAAATTTAGTTAGCTGATAACAAAATTCTTCTGCGGGTTTCTGATAGTTTTTTGTCGCATCTGTTTCCCTCTGGCTTTATCTTTTCCTCATCTGCAATGCTTACCATGCCAACCAGTATTTATTTTGCACACTTGGTACCCCATCTTGTTGTGTGAAGACCTGAAAGCAGTTCTGTTTCTGACAGACCTTCCTGTTATTTAATGTTAAATATTTACTTTGTTTCCTAATCATTTGTGAAGATAATGCCAGCGTGATGCTAGCACGATGTGGCCGACAGTCTGAACACCAGTTGTTTGTTTGACGCAGGAGACTCGAGTCAGCTGGGAGCGACGGTGCTGGAGATGCCGTACAAGGGGAAGGCGGCGTCCATGTTGGTGTTCCTGCCTTACACCACGGCAGGCGACGACGCCACTACTCCCCTGGACGCCATGTTGCGACGCCTCTCACACAACACTTTCACGGATGCTCTCACCAAACTCAGAACACAGAAAGTCGTCCTTAAACTTCCAAAGTTTAAATTCGAGCAAACAATCAAGGAAGAACTGAAGCTGGTGAGTCAAATGTCTGTTAAAGTTGAATTAGTTTCTTGATACCATCTTAAGCTGACACCACCAGGAGAGTCGTTGGGACGACCCGGAGGTGGTGTAGTGCTGGTAAGCTGTACATGCTGTGTGTCTTGTTCAACATTTGGGGCTCAGCGCGAACACATATGTTCTACAACATGCTCCTTATTATTACTCCACTGTTCCTAATGTTCACTGTCACGTCCTCCCCCTCCGTTGTCTCATTGTGTACCCCCTTCACGTCCCCTCCGTTGTCTCATTGTGTACCCCCTTCACGTCCCCTCCGTTGTCTCATTGTGTACCCCCTTCACGTCCCCTCCGTTGTCTCATTGTGTACCCCTGTCACGTCCCCTCCGTTGTCTCATTGTGTACCCCTGTCACGTCCCCTCCGTTGTCTCATTGTGTACCCCTGTCACGTCCCCTCCGTTGTCTCATTGTGTACCCCTGTCACGTCCCCTCCGTTGTCTCATTGTGTACCCCTGTCACGTCCCCTCCGTTGTCTCATTGTGTACCCCTGTCACGTCCCCTCCGTTGTCTCATTGTGTACCCCTGTCACGTCCCCTCCGTTGTCTCTGTGTTTCTGTCATGATCTCATGATCCACAGCATCGCTGGCCAACCAAAGCCTGGCCAATTTTCAATAAGTGTCTAGAGGTAAGTGTAAAAGGCTGGTTAAAACAACGCCAGTTTACTGGGACATATAAACTGGTCACCGTAAAACACTAAGAACTAATATTTTCTATATACAACTGATATACATTAGTATACAACTAATACTGTAATCAGAACAAGGAACTTTAGCACACAGCTCAATTATTCACATAAATGAACTTCAAGAACTTAAAACACAGCAATCAAAATCTGTAACGGCTAATACTTAGGACTAGCTAACACCAGGCTCCAACCCGGCGCAGTGGTACACTAACCCAAGTAACAGGTTGGAGGTGTTATACATAAATAAGTAGTGGGTGAGTATTCAGTAAAATACTATAACACAATAACAAGCCTCTACGATCCTCCAATATCCATCTCAACACTAAAACATCTACCACCTAACACAACTGATATATCTCGGTAGACTGCGGTAGTCTGATCCATTTACACAAAAATCATTACTCCTATCTATACCCGAGTAATAAAAAACAACAACAGTATATAACACAACTTACAGCTGGACGTCTACACGTCCTCCTATCTAGGAAATCAGGTGAGTAATGACTTACCAAGAGCTGAGCCGGCCGAGAACGACTGTGCTGCCAACATGGCAAGTCACCCCTCTCACATAACACAAGCTCAAAAACCCAATTGTAACTTCTACGTCGCACATTACTAAGTGCGTATTATAATATACAATAATCTCCACAGGAGAATATACAGTAAACTCAAGGTACATTAGAATATAACATAGTTTATATACAATAACGTAAGGAAGTCTATTCTCTTACATATGGTAACACTGGTCTTCGACGTCTCGCCAAGGGGGGGGGGGGGAGGGAATTAGGAGGATTACCAGTAGTTATCTGGTCGACCGGTGTTCACCACTTACTTTACCGTATATCCCTAGTCATACCTCAGGTATATCTAATTCTTCATACTACTGTATATATACACAATTATTATTTAGCTTCTGCTAGCGTAATATCAACATGAGAGTACAGATATAAAAATATAAGAATACAGATATAAGAAATAACACTATTATTTTACTATATGGTTTGAACACATTATACATATGTGTGTGGTCATAACAGTTCCCTGTCACGTCCCCTCCGTTGTCTCAATATGTTCCCTGTCACGTCCCCTCCGTTGTCTCATATGTTCCCTGTCACGTCCCCTCCGTTGTCTCATTATGTTCCCTGTCACGTCCCCTCCGCTGTTGTCTCACGTTCCCTGTCACGTCCCCTCCGTTGTCTCATTATGTTCCCTGTCACGTCCCCTCCGTTGTCTCACTATGTTCCCTGTCACGTCCCCTCCGTTGTCTCATTATGTTCCCTGTCACGTCCCCTCCGTTGTCTCAATATGTTCCCTGTCACGTCCCCTCCGTTGTCTCAATATGTTCCCTGTCACGTCCCCTCCGTTGTCTCATATGTTCCCTGTCACCCCTCCGTCCCCCTGTCACGTCCGTTGTCTCATATGTTCCCTGTCATGTTCCCCCTGTCACGTCCCCTCCGTTGTCTCAATATGTTCCCTGTCACGTCCTCTCCGTTGTCACGTCATTATGTTCCCTGTCACGTCCCCTCCGTTGTCTCAATATGTTCCCTGTCACGTCCTCTCCGTTGTCTCATTATGTTCCCTGTCACGTCCCCTCCGTTGTCTCAATATGTTCCCTGTCACGTCCCCTCCGTTGTCTCAATATGTTCCCTGTCACGTCCCCTCCGTTGTCTCAATATGTTCCCTGTCACGTCCCCTCCGTTGTCTCATTATGTTCCCTGTCACGTCCCCTCCGTTGTCTCATTATGTTCCCTGTCACGTCCCCTCCGTTGTCTCATTTTGTTCCCCTGTCACGTCCCCTCCGTTGTCTCAATATGTTCCCTGTCACGTCCCCTCCGTTGTCTCAATATGTTCCCTGTCACGTCCCCTCCGTTGTCTCAATATGTTCCCTGTCACGTCCATTATGTTCCTCCGTCCCCTCCGTGTCTCAATATGTTCCCTGTCACGTCCCCTCCGTTGTCTCATTATGTTCCCTGTCACGTCCCCTCCGTTGTCTCAATATGTTCCCTGTCACGTCCCCTCCGTTGTCTCATATATGTTCCCCTGTCACGTCCCCTCCGTTGTCTCAATATGTTCCCTGTCACGTCCCCTCCGCTGTCTCATTATGTTCCCCCTGTCACGTCCCCTCCGTTGTCTCAATATGTTCCCTGTCACGTCCCCTCCGTTGTCTCATTATGTTCCCTGTCACGTCCCCTCCGTTGTCTCAATATGTTCCCTGTCACGTCCCCTCCGTTGTCTCATTATGTTCCCCCTGTCACGTCCCCTCCGTTGTCTCAATATGTTCCCTGTCACGTCCCCTCCGTTGTCTCAATATATTTCCTATCACGTCCCCTCCGTTGTCTCAATATATTTCCTATCACGTCCCCTCCGTTGTCCCAATATATTTCCTATCACGTCCTCCGTTGTCTCATTATGTTTCCTGTCACGTCCCCCCCCCGTTGTCTTATTATTTTCCCTATCACGTCCCCTCCGTTGTCTCAATATGTTCCTCGTCACTTCCCCTTCGTTGTCTCAATATGTTTCCTGTTATGTCCCCTCCCTTCCATTGTCTCATTATGTTCCCTGTCACGTCCCCTCCCTTCCATTGTCTCATTATGTTCCCTGTCACGTCCCCTCCCTTCCATTGTCTCATTATGTTCCCTGTCACGTCCCCTCCCTTCCATTATCTCATTATGTTCCCTGTCACGCCCCCCCCTCTGTTGTCTCATTATGTTCCATTATGTTCCCCGTCAAGGCTGCCATTGTCTCATTATGTTCCATTATGTTCCCTGTCAAGGCTGCTCCATTGTCTCATTATGTTCCCTGTCACCCCCCCCCCTCCATTGTCTCATTATGTTCCCCGTCAAGGCTCCTCCATTGTCTCATTATGTTCCCTGTCACCCCCCCTCCATTGTCTCATTATGTTCCATTATGTTCCCCGTCAAGGCTGCTCCATTGTCTCATTAGGTTCCCTGTCACGTCCTTCCCCCTTCGTTGCCTCATTATGTTCGCTGTCACGTCTCCTCCGATGTCCCATTATGTTCCTTGGCCGGTATCGGCATCTTTTGCTGACAGTACTAGGAGTGTGGTCGGGACGGCCTGGAGGTAGTATAGTGCTGGTAAGGTTGGGGTTGATACCACCTCCAACCTTCCACCTTTTCTAAAGACTAAACGAACTCCTAACTCCATACTCTCCACGCAACTGTAGACTTCAATCATTAGCAGATTTCCAATAGATAACCAGGACTACACAGCCCGAAGGAATTATTGCTTCAATGGACGTCGAATCTCTATTTACCAACGACCCGGTCGACACCACCGTACAATGATACTGGACAGAGTATACAGAGACGAGAGCACCCCCAAATTAGACATACTGGAGTCACACCAGATGAATCTACTCGAAACATGCACAACGGAGCTCCTATCATCAGCCAGCAAGGAAACAGTAGCAATGGGCTCCTCCCCATCAGTGCCTTTTGCTAACTTGTACATGGGCACCATCGAGGACAGAGTTTTCAATATGAGACACAAATCGTTGCTCCTTATTGCCGTTATGTCGATGACATATTTGTAATAGTAAAAGACCGAGAAGAACTAATTGATCCAAAAAGCTCTCTAGAGAGAAAGTCAGGACTTTGTTTCACCCATGAGAATAGTAACAATTACAGTCTGCTGTTCCTGGATGTGTTCATAACAAACATAGAAGCATCTCTAAGTACCAGCATATATACCAAGCCTACAAACATAGGATTATGCCTGAAGGGTGGGAGTGCCCCCAAAGATATAAAGCCGTCTTTTTTTCAAAGCATATAGTCGTCCAGCCCTTACTCACTGCTCTGAAAGGAGCAAAGTGAGTAAGAAGTTTGAAAGGATAACTAAGTATTGGTAAAGAATGGCTATAAACCATGATATCAACACCATTACAAGACGCCAATTGGACCAGTGGTACAATCCTGAACCAAAACCAGAAACCACAACACCTCCACTAAAATTATATTACAAATCCGCCATGCACAAGAATGAGTAAAGAATAATGACAGAAATAGTCTGTAAATAAGTAAAAAGTACAACCCATAACCAAAACATAAACATCATTATATACTATTGAATGAAGACCACTGACCTCCTCATTAAAAATAGCCCAAAGCAGCTGGGTGTCATTTGCTGCAGCAGAATGTGGTATATATGTGCACTTGTCCTCCATGTAGGATTTAATCTTCAATCTAAGTACATAGGTTTGATGTCGACCAAGCTTATGAGGCGTTTAGCCTGTCAGCTTCAGACAGGTGCCTTTAAA